CATATCCTCCATTTCTGTCATGTTTTTTTGTCTCTGCATCTTTTATGCTTTCTTTGTGCACCCCCTTGTGGTCTTTGTGCGCAGTCTTGTTCTAGTTAAGCCTTAATTGTTGTAGTTAATACTAGAGGGATTTGACCACCAGGCCGACTGGCTGTGAGAATCAGCTGTGGGAAAACTTCTGTCCTCTGGGGAGGTGCTAATCTAGCCTTTGCCTGAGGCGATCCAGCAAATGGCTCTGCGCAGGGCTTGGGTGGGGCGGGCTCAACAGGGCGGGCGGAGGGAGCAGTTATGGCTGCTCTCAGTCCATCCCCAGAGGCTCTGCCTCTCTGTCCCAGCAACCGCTGCAAACCTCGGAGGGACCGTAGCCAGACAGTCCCGCTTCTCCTGTTTGAGTCTGGGTCCCTAGAGACTTGCCCGGATCTGTAGCCCAGAGTCTGAGACTCCCTCCTGATTGAAAACGACAACCGCGCCCTCAGCCACCAGCCCGCTTTGCGCGCACACCACCGTACCTTTGAATTTTCCACACTGCGCCTCCTCTGAGCCTCGGAATGCTGTTGTTTTTCCTTCTAGTTGAAGAGTCTCTCCTCAGCCAGCCTTCCTGTGGTTCTGGGTGATGTCCATTCCGTCTTTTAGTTGTATTTTTGAAGTGGTTGTTTGCAGCAGCAGTCTCCGGTGTTTACCTATGCCGCCATCTTCGATTCTCCCTTTTCTCTCTTTAATGATTAAGGTATTACATATGTGACCTTATCCCCCCATTGCTCCCCCATCCCCCAACTCATGCCCTCACTCCCCCTGGTGTCTGTGTCCATTGGGTTGGCTTATATGCATGCGTATAAGTCCTTTGGTTGATCTCTCCCCCATACCCCACCCTTCCCTACCTTTCCTCTGAGTTTTGATGGTCTGATGGATGCTTCCCTGTCTCTGGATCTGTTTTTGTTCATCAGTTTTTTTTTTTTTGTTTGTTTGTTTTTAATATATTTTATTGATTTTTTACAGAGAGGAAGGGAGAGAGATAGAAAGTTAGAAACATCAATCAGCTGCCTCCTGCACATCTCCCACTGGGGATGCACCCGCAACCCAGGCACATGCCCTTGACCGGAATCGAACCTGGGACCCCTCAGTCCGCAGGCCGACGCTCTATCCACTGAGCCAAACCGGTTTCGGCTGTTCATCAGTTTATGTTGTTCATTATATTCCACAAATGAGTGAGATCACGTGATATTTATCTTTCTCTGACTGGCTTATTTCGCTTAGCATAGTGCTCTCCTTTTCTATCCAAGCTGTTGCAAATGGTAAGAATTCCTTCTTTTTCACCGCAGCATAGTATTCCATTGTGTAGAGGTACCACAGTTTTTTAATCCACTCATCTGCTGATGGGCACTTAGGCTGTTTCCAAATCTTAGCTATGGTAAATTGTGCTACTATGAACATAGGGGTACATATATCCTTTCTGATTGGTATTTCTAGTTTTTGGGATATATTCCTAGAAGTGGAATCACTGGGTCAAATGGGAGTTTCATTTTTAATTTTTTGAGGAAACTCTATACTCTAAACTCTGTTCTTCACAGTGGCTGCACCAGTCTGCATGCCCACTAGCAGTGCAGGAGGGTTCCTTTTTCTCCCCATCCTCGTCAGCACTTGTCGTTTGTTGATATGTTTATGCTAGCCATTCTGACAGGTGTGAGGTGGTATCTCATTGTTGTTTTGATTTGCATCTCTTGGATGATTAGTGACTTTGAGCATGTTTTCATGTGTTTCTTGGCCTTCTATATGTCCTCTCTATTTAGGTCCATTGCCCATTTTTTGATTGGGTTATTTATCTTCCTTTTGTTAAGTTGTATGAGTTTCCTGTAAATGTTGGAGATTAAACCCTTATCGGTGATAATATTGGCAATTATGTTCTCCCATGCAGTGGGCATTCTTGTTGTTTTGTTGATGGTTTCTTTTGCTGTGCAGAAGCCTTTTATTTTTATGTAGTCCCATGTGTTTATTTTCTCTTTAGTTTCCATTGCCCT